TGTGCTGAATGATGTGGCTAGGGAATACACAAAAGCAATTCCATGATAAATACCAAGAGAAAATGACAGGAACACAAAGTGGTGGGAGATCCTAATACATGTCCCTCCGTCTTTGACAGAGTAAGTAGGCAACGGATGAATTAGGATAGGGAAGAACTGAATGATGTATTTCATGTGTCTGATCAAACAGATATATGCCCATTTTGGACCCTCCAAAAAGAAAATATACTTCTTCTCTAAATACTCATGAAACATTTATAAATATCGATCATATAGTAGCCCACAAAGGAAATCTCAATAAATTTCCCAAAGCAGAAAGTGTACAGGCCCTGTTCTCTGACGACAATATGATGAGACAGAAAATTAAGAGTCAAAGCTCAAACCAACACATCCAAACTCTTTGAAATGTAACAACACTCTACTGAAGAACCCTTGGGTCAGAGGGAAAAACCAAGCCTGTGATTACAGATCATTTAGGACATTGCAACAATAAGAACATTGACAAGACAAAATCAGAGAAAGAACATAGACAAAAACAGAGCTAAAGACCACATATTATTAACAGAAAAGAGGAAAAGTAATGGACCAAAGATTTGAGCCCAGAAATGAGAAAATGAAAACAAACCAAACCAAAGAAAATTAGGCGGGCAGAAATGAACAAGTCCAAAAGCATAAAATAAGATTCGAAGACAAAGAATTGATATGTGTAAGGGGGTAGCTCTTGAAAAAAGAAAAATGATATGAATAAATTGCTGATCCAGAAAACATTAACACAGAAAATTAAGAATAAGAAAAGACTTAGAATTTAATATAGAGAGGGTTTGGGTTTTTTGTTTGTTTGTTTGTTTGTTTGTTTGAGGAATATTTTAGCATTATGCTAAAAAAAAGTTTCAAAGGTCCAGTGGATATATTTAGGAAAAATAGGAACTACGAGTTGAATTTAGAGTGGGAAAATTGGTGGTGCCTGGGTGGCTCAGTGGGTTAAAGCCTGTGCCTTCGGCTCAGGTCATGATCCCAGTGTCCTGGGATTGAGCCCTGCATCGGGCTCTCTGCTCAGCGGGGAGCCTGCTTCCTCCTCTCTCTCTGCCTGCCTCTCTGCCTGCTTGTGATCTCTGTCTGTCAAATGGATAAATAACACCTTAAAAAAAGAAACTACTAAAAAAAACTACTAGGGTTGGAAAACTGAAAGGATTAATATATAAAGAAAATGTTCCTGAGTGTAAGAAGCAGTGTGGGTAATGGTTAAGGATGTGGGCTTTCGTGCCAGATTGCCTGGTTTGCACTCCAGCTTCACCCGTTAAGCCAATTATCTGACCTCTCTGAACCTCAGTTTCCCTAGCTCCAAATTGGTGATGATAACAACATCCATCTCCCAAATGTTTTGTTGTGCAGTCAATGAAATACTACGTCAGCCACCTAGTACGGTACTAACAAAAACTGTCCACAAGACCCCAGATATTATTTGTTATTGCATTCCTCCAAAGTTCCAAAGAACAGATATCTCATGTGCTACATTCATAGTTTCAGGGCACACAGAAAATCTGAATACTATTCCCCTGCCTCAATGAAACCATTATCTTGATGCACAAACTTGATATCCTAGCACACACACACACACACACACACACACACACACACACACAAACCCCAAACTTTCTTTATGAATATGTATGAATTGAATAAATAAAGGCAAGGGGCGCCCGGGTGGCCCAGTCAGTTAAGCATCGAACTCTTGGTTTTGGCTCAGGGGGTGATCTCAGGGTCATGAGATCGAGCCCTGTGTCAGGCTCTATGCTCAGCAAGGGGAGAGTCTGCTTGAGATTCTCTCTCTCTCTCTCCCTCTGCCTCTCCCCCCAATCACTCACTCACTCTCTAAAATAAATAAATAAGTCTTTTTAAAAAGGTTATAAATAAAATACATGCAAACAGAATCCAGTGTTGTAATGAAAGAACACAACACCAAAATCAAATAAGGGAATCCCAGGAAGGGATGAATGGCTCAGAATGAGGGAATCTGTCCATTCACTTTGTTGTTTGGCCAAGCAGTTGGCAGTGTGTTGACCTATAAAGACTGGTTTTCATTAGTTGCCTAAGGAAATTAGACATGGCCAGGGGGTCAGGGTTCAAGGTTGTTTCATGTCACATTCTTGAACTTTTAAACAATCTAAATATATAATAATAAGGCAATGCTTGACTCTATTAAATAAACATATTACACTTAAATTATAGATTATATAGAGAGTATTCTATAGAAAAGACTATTGTGAACCCATATAAAATATTCCAAAGAATATTTCAAAATGCAAAAGTATATTCAAGATATATTGTCCATTAAGTATAAAGGAAACAGATTAAAAGTAGTAGACTTGGGATGCTTACATCTCTGGAACCTGTATGTATTTTTCAGTATGTGTATATGTGCGTATGTCTTTGAACATTTAGGTTCCCTTTCTTTGTTACTATAAAAATGCTACAATGAATAACCTCACACGTTTGTTATTTTGCACAAATGTGAGGATTAGATTGTCATATTTTTCTGCACTTTTCTACATTTTAAGGACTGAAAGCTGTTCTCACTTGTGCAAAATGACAAATGCAGAAGGTAATTCATTGTAATAGTATGTGTGTGTGTGGGTCTGTCTGAATGTAAACATACACAGAGTAATTTCCAGGAGGAGAGAAAGAAAAGGAAATGGAACAAAGTGTCATGATGGTTATTTTAAGACAGTCTTAATTTTCTCCTTTATGCTCTAAATTTCTTTCCTTAGTTAAATGTTAGCAAAACATTCGAAGTGCGATTCAAGCAAAAGGAAAAGCCTTGCACTTGTAAACAAGATATCTAAATGCAAGATGTTTATCCTGCTTGCAAATGCATCTGTAAAGAAAAATGATAAGGACTACCTCAAAGAAGATATTTAGAGAGGTGGTTTTTTTTTTTTTTTGCAGTTTGGAAATGGGTAGGCCAATAACATATATTCAGATTAAAATTGGTATGAATATTTGTTTTCAAAAATGTGTGTGAATGTGTTTAGCACAAGGCACAGAGCACAACTGGTGACCAAAATTATTAACTGAATTGAATTGATGATCCTTTCCTTAGTGGCACCTTGTATCTAAGACCCAAGATAAAGAGTGTTTCTGTCTAACTGCCACTCACCATCATTCTTTTGGCCTCTCCCATTTTTAGCAGCTGTCTCTGATGTCACCATATTGCCTAAAAACAAATAAACCAAAAAATAACAATAACAGAGAGCGAAGAAATGGTTTTTTTCCTTGCTTCTGGAGGACAAGCAAAAAGGGGGAAAAAAAACTATCCTTTATCCCCCTTCCTGGTTTCTTTCCTCTTCCTTAAATCCAGGCTTGGTGTAGAATTGATTCAACCTTTGAGTCTGGTTTGAACTAAATGAATGATGTCATGTCCCATTGGTAGGGGAAATTTCGTCTAGTTCAGAATGATTTGTCTTGGAAATGGCCAGGGACTAGAACTAAGAGAAATCTGGACAAAAAGATATATTGTGGGCCTGGATTTTGGAGGTGGGTATAGGAAGAGGATTTGGGGATTCACCGGATACAGAGGATGAAGGGAGGGAAATGGACCATGACTGGGGTTTACAAACCCATGGAACATCAGTGCCAGGGACAGACAGAAGCTTGACCATTGGACAATAAAACAATGAGAATGCTCAGCTCACTTTGGGACACAGTGGTTTAGAATAAGGGTAGGGATTTCAAGGGCATGTCTATAAGCTGTTTAGAATCAAACCCTATAGACCAGTCAGACCTCAAATGAGAGGTGTATGAGAGTATGGGCTAGAAGGCAGAGCCTTCATGAAGCATCAGTATGTCAGGAATACAAGTGGCCAAGGGCTCTGGCGAGGGAGCTGAACACAGAGCGTCCAGAGACAATGATGCCAGAGGTAGAAAAGATGGTTTCAGTAGCAAGACAAAAGAAAACAGAAGCAGATCATCTAGCTCCAAGAGGATGGCATGGCTGTAAACCATGGTTCAGAAAAACTAAAGCAAAGACTTCATGCCTCCCTTCCCCCCCTTGTTTTAGCTGAAATTAGAGGCAAAAATACAACACTGAATTAAATAATAACGTAGGGTTGAAGTATTCTTTTGTGGTAAAACCACAGCTGTATCCAGTTTCAGAAGCCCTTAGAATGCCTTGAACTCTGTGCTTGGATGACTGGGACCCTATTAATTTTGTGACTTGTTCAGTCCATATGGACTTTGCCATTTGTAGTGAAAAGAAATGCCTTTGAAATGTTGGGCTGTGTTCATGGAGAGGCAGGATAGAACCTAGGACCCAGGACTCCTGATCCCAAGAGAGGGTCAATTCACGTTGGCTTCCCCCATCTCAGGATGCACCCAGACACCTGTCTGGTCAGGAGGAATCAAAGCCCCATAAAGGTGTAAGCACCCCCACCTTTTAATGTTATGTTAGTCACCATACAGTCCATCATTGGGTTTTGATGTAGTGTTCCATGATTCATTGTTTGCATATAACACCCAGTGCTCCATGCAGTCTGTGCCCTCCTTTGTACCCATCAGGAGGCTAACCCATCCTCTTCCTGGTTAACCATACCCTAAAACACCCCTTCCCCCCAAAAGGATCTACTCCCCCTGCCCAGTTCCCCACCCCATGTGTGTATACTTGCCAAATGGCCCTTCAGTCTCCATCCTTCTCCCCACCCACCTCCACCCCAACAAACCTCTGTTTTTGGTCAGCCAGATCTACAGATGTGGGTGGGTCTCCATGGTGACAGAGGAAGCCTTGGTACAGAAGGAGAGAGACACAAACAGCAGAGGAAACTTCTTTGCGTCTAACATACCACCTCCTGCCCTTCGCATTCCCAGGGCACCAAAGGGCTCAGGCTTCCAAAGGGTATCCTTGGACTCAGAGAAGCACATTTGATGTCAAGAGAGGCGCTGTTCTGTGGGAGAGATGATGGAATGCCTAAACTCTTCTTTAAACATCTATTTTCTATGATTTCCAGGTGATCATCAGTACAACCATCCGATTTTAAGCAGTGCGGCCCAGACCCCTACACATGGTGAGAGACGGCTCTGAGCATTCCACATTCCATCCCCATCCCAAGTGGTTCCATCCTGACTCCTGATCCCCATCAGGCATGAGACATATGGTCGTGATTCATTGATGCTCAGAAGGTGTAAGGAGCCCATAATGGCTCAGTCCTACCCTTACACCATTGACCCCTCTTGTCCTGTCTCTGAAATGGAGTAATCTTTCATCATGAAAGAGAAGGGCTGAGACCCTTTCTTAACGCATTCTCACATAGATCTCACGATCTAGATCACTTCTTGTGGTCATCCATTCCATATGTCCACAGCAAGGAGTGAACACTCTTCTTGGCCTAAGGCTGCTTGTGGTACCATTTACTAACGGCATGGGGCTTGGCATAAACCCTATCAAACCACCCAAACCCAGTAAGATTTGCTAATGCTCAAAACCAGACTGGTTCACCTGAGCATTAGCCCCTGGGAAGGGGAGGAAAATGAAGGTTCTAGAGGACAGAAAGTGTGAGCATAGCACCAGAGGATTACAAAGCCACGTTTCCTTCTTATCATATCCTCTTGCCAGGTTGCAATGTAACCTCTGGAACGGCCAAGAAAAACTATTTTGGGCACCTGCTCAAAACCTGGTAGCACACAAGACAGCCATGTAAATTACGAACTCTCAGTCATTCCTCTGTCTTTGCTCTGAAGGAGTGACAACATCATTAAATTTTAGTGAGAGAGAAACTCAAAGATAAAATCTGCAGCTCGCTTGGCAGAGAGATTCACCCCCATCCTGTGAGATTATGCTCTGCGTCAGCACTGAGGTGTTGAGCATTATAATTAGGAGGCTAGAACTGGACTATTTTGATGTCCCCCTCTAGGGCTAGGCTCCTGGTGGAAACAGGTAATGAGAGCAAGAGTTTAATAAGCTGTTTCAGGTTGCAGGGTCTAGGAAAAAACCAGAACTGGAAGACACTGGAGAGATCAGTTATGAAGCAGCAGGTCCCAGGGGTGATGAGGACAGTGGGAAAAGGCAGATGGGTTCAGATAGGAAACGTGGTGGAAAAAGAATCGCGAGAACTTAGTTACTCACTGAATATGGCTGACAAGAGTCAACTGTGAGTCAAATGGCAAGCCATGTTCAATGAAAAGAGTGGGGGTTCTTAGTAACGCAATCTGGAGAGGGAGGAAAGCAGCCAGGGTATAGGGGAGATGAAGCTGTCGATGGTGAATTTGGATCTGGACATCTGAAGCTGGAGAGGACCATAGGATAGTTAAGAAAAATGATTCGGCAGGCAGCTAGAAGTGTGGACATGCAGTCTGGAGACAGGTTACAGCTGAAGATGTCACTGCTTTGGAAGTGGGAACAGATGCGCTGAGAGTGGGGGCAGTCTGTGTGGAGAAGGCTGAAAGAGAAGAGCAGAAGGCAGAAGCAGAGAGCCTGGGGGATGCCCATGGTGATGACGCAGCTGCAGGAAGAAGAGCCAGAAAAGGCAAACGAGGAGTACTCCGTTCACTCCTGAACATTCTGGAAGGATAAGTAGAAGCAGGTTTTCTCCAGAATGAGCCAAGCCAAGCACAGCCTCCTGAGGACAGAAGGAAGAACCATTCTTCCCTGCTCCTCTCTCCATCTTTTCTTTTTCCTCCTGGTACAAGGGGGTGAGGGCAGATAGACCTGGTCTTTGACCTTGAGCAGCTCACAGCCCGGTGGGAGCAGGGTTTTCTCTGCATGTCTTCCTTGGTGGCTACACTTTCCCCCAGGAGCTGGCAGAGCGACTATCAAAGGGGGGAAGACAACCTGTGTCAACCTGATCAACCAAAGAGCATTAATTGGATCCTGATTTGGGGCCAAACACTATGAAGGCATCAAACTGGAAAGCAAGATTTCTGCTGTCAAGGACATTGCCGTCTTTGGTCATCAACAAGACCAGCTCAAGTCAATTGATCAAAGATCACATTGACACTGAACTGGGTGGGATTGCCTGGAAGACCTATAGGGGCTTGAAGACCAGATATCACCGTAGGCTGAAAAGATGTGACATCGCCATAGCGAAGAGTCTTGAGGGAAGAGAGAATGTGGACAAAGGACGAGTAAGGAAAGACATTGCAATAGGAGAGAGAGCATGAGCAAGGGGGCAGGGATAATCAGGCGGAGACAGAAGACAAAGAAGAGCTGGCCTTGGCTTAGCAGCATGAGTTGGAGAACAGTGGGGTTGGGGGAAGAGCATCCATAAATGTTGCTTTTGGAAGTCGGTGAGCTGAGCTATACCCTCGGTGGGAGTATGATGCCAAGTTATTCTCCAGCATCACCATAAGTGAAGAAAGGAGAGCTAGGGGACCAGTGGCTGTTACCCAGCTCTGGAGAGCAGTGCTTCCAGCATCCTGCCCACTCCACTTCCTGGCATCTGTCCCAATCCATGCCAGGGAGGCTCTTACCGCACAGTATGTTCTGATCTCTTAGGGGTGTAGAGCATCCCTCACCCCCACACATATGTACCGAGCTGGCATGAACACCAGCTCATTGGCTGGGCTCCCCTGGCTCCATCCCCAGTGTTTGGGGAGACCAGTGAAGGCAGGGAGGAGAGAGAAGCTGGGAATTCCCTGGAGTGAGGCTACCCTTGGACCAAGCCTAGCAGGTGATTCTCTTTGTCCCCCACAGTTCACAGAATTCCTGATTTCCATGGTTGGGCACTCTCTTTGCCAAGAGGCAGGCAGAGGCCACAGCCTGGCCCTTCTTGGGGGTCCCAAACCATAGAGGATGGTGGGACAATGGGAGAGCCACCTGCCTACTTCATGTTGGGGAATGGTACTACTGTTGACTTCCTACCAAGGCATGCTTCCTTCCTTCCTTCACAACCGCTCCCTTACCCATACTGGTATCTCCTCTCTACCCCAACCACAGAGCCCAGTTCAGCCCATTCACCTCATTAGTCATCTGTCTCATCACCTGCTCATCTTCTCTTCCATTCCTCCCTCCATTCCTTCCCCCCTGCCCACCTCCCACCCACGGTCTAGCATTGAACACACTCTCTTCTCTCTCTTTGGAGTTTGGGATCTCAAGGCTCTGTCTCAAGGGAAGGAGGGAGGAAAGGAGAATGATGTGCTAAGCATTTTGCCAACATTCTTTCCTCCAGCGGCTCAGAGAGAGCCAAGGGGGCCTTAGGGGAAGGTAATGGAGGAGGAGGAAGTAGCTTTGTAGATCACAGTGACCCACTGGGGGCCACTCCCTGCAGGGCTTGGGGAGAACCAAGGCAGAAGGGGTGATGTGAGGGATGGAATGGGGGATGGAATGACATCATGGGACCGTGTGGAATGGAGTCTCAGGGGAGCTGGGGTCCTGGACCCAGTTCTATGGGTATGGGGACAAGACCAGTCACTCCACTTTTTTCAAAATCAGATTTATCTGAACCTGAGAGCTATGAGGGAAAGGACAGAATTTTCACATCAAAGTAGACAATTTTATGACCCCTCCTCAGCTCTATCAGACCTACGTTTTCATCAGACACACATGGGGAGGAATTTGCCACTCAAGGAAGGGCAAGCCACCAGCCTGGCCAGCGATGGCTAAAACATCACCTGCCCCCAGGCTTGTAGACAACTGGAACTGGGCACGAGGGAAACTGAGTCACCAGCACCACCCATGTCCTAGCACAGGGGACCAGGAAAACAGGATGAGGACTGAGAGCTAGAACCTGGACCCTCCCCTCCTGCCTGCCCTCTGTCCTCCCTAATGCCATGCCCCTCCCTTCTTTTGCAGAGAAGCCACGGATGAACAACATCCTGACATCGGCCACCGAGCCCTATGACCTTTCCTTCTCCCGCTCCTTCCAGAATTTGGCCCATCTGCCCCCATCCTATGAGTCTGCCGTGAAGACCCACCCCAGCAAGTACTCATCCTTGAAGAGACTAAGTAAGTGGGGTTTTCTTGGGCTTGGGGTCTGCCTCTGCAGCTTCTGTGACATCCGCCTGTGTTTCTCTCTTGCCCTACCCCAGAGGGGACAGGTGTGGAGTTCCAAGAATAAAGAGTGAGGCCATGTGAGTCTAGAGAACTTCTGTACATGGGTGGGTTTAAGGCCCATCAAGACCCTTTACAATGTCAAGAAGGTACACAGCAGGGGCGCCTGGGTGGCTCAGTGGGTTAAAGCCTTTGCTTTCGGCTCAGGTCAGATCCCAGGGTCCTGGGATCGGGCCCCGCATAGGGCTCTCTGCTCAGCAGGGATCCTGCTTTCCTTCCTCTCTCTCTGCCTGCCTCTCTGCCTACTTGTGATCTCCGTCTGTCAAATAAATTAAAAAAAAAAAAAAAAGAAGGTACACAACAGGAGAGCCCTTCTTTCCTAGCTTTCTGACCCTTGGAACTTCTACCTCCATGTCCCCATGGGGTTATTTTCATGACCACCGACTCAGGGGCCGAGCCTTTGCTTGATGCTATGGGAGTAACCTCCCCCGATGGGTCTACCTCCACCAGCCACCTCCAAGGTGGAACGGTGAATTTCTCTGGCTAGAAGCAGGGGGTTCCTGATGATCCAGGGAAGCTGATGAATGGTGGGGAAGACAGTGGCAGAGTCCACCCATCTGTGACCCTCTGGGCAAACCGTGGAGCAGTCAGCATTCCCACATTCTGCAGAGATTTGGAAAACAGCAGGAAGCCTCCTTCCTGGAATTTGGGGCAAAGCATGTATGTGTGTCCTGCGTAAGTTCTTGGGTATAGCAGTCTCCATAAGCATGGAAGGGCCTCCTGGAGGGAGAGGAGGGCAGAGCACTGCATGAGGTCCACACAGAGGATGGTTCTGGCCTGCGCACGTTGTGGGCACAGGCCAAGCAGGTGGAGGCTTGATGCTGCGCAGCCTGGGGCTGGAGGCCCTGTCAGCTTCCTAGGCGCTGGCTGTTGTTATTCCAGAGAAGGTGTTACTATGTTCCTAAGTTACCAGCCAAGCATGTTCACAAGTGCCTCCCGGCTGGAGCATCTCACTTCCTGGAGCAACCCAGCTCCTTGCAGAGAGGCTCTGAACCTCATCTGAAGGCCACCAACTGCTTCTTAAGCGTTCCAGCCAGTACTGGAGCAGGATCTCAGGGGCGTGGCCATGCCAGCAGCTCTGCCCTGAGCTCCCTGGGGACCCTCATGCGCCCTGGATACTCTGGATGGTCCTGGACCGCCGCCATCAGCATTGCCTGTGAGCCAGTGAGAGTGACTCCCAGATTCAAATGCACCCCAGCACCCCCCACCCCCGGGGACTGAGTCTGCAGATTCCATGGGGAAGCTCTCCTCCACCTGTCTGGGTGGGGAGGTCCTGGTTCAGTCCAGGCTGTGCTGTCACAGCATCACCCCAGCTGACTTTTCTCCCTCTCTCCCTCTCCTCCTTCCTCCTCCTCTATCCCCCACCCTCCCCACCCCCAGCTGACAAGGAGGCGGACGAATATTACATGAGGAGGCGGCACCTGCCGGACCTGGCTGCCCGAGGCACCCTCCCCCTCAACGTCATCCAGATGTCCCAACAGAAGCCCTTACCTCGAGAGCGACCCCGCCGGCCCATCCGGGCCATGTCGCAGGACAGGGTTCTGTCCCCGGAGCGGGGCCTGCCGGATGACTTCGGCTTGCCCTATGACCGCATCCTGTCCGACGAGCAGCTGCTGTCCACGGAGCGCCTGCACTCCCAGGACCCGCTGCTGTCCCCGGAGCGGACGGCCTTCCCCGAGCAGTCCCTGTCGCGGGCCATCTCGCACACGGACGTCTTTGTGTCCACGCCCGTGCTGGAGCGGTACCGCGTGACCAAGATGCACTCCCATCCCAGTGCCTCCAGTAACTCCTATGCCACGCTGGGCAAGAGCCAGACGGCCGCCAAGCGCCAGGCCTTCGCCTCGCGCAGACACAACACAGTGGAACAGCTGCACTATATCCCGGGTCACCACACCTGCTACACAGCCAGCAAGACGGAAGTGACCGTGTGACAGGCGGGGGGGGGGGGGGGGGGTTGGGCAGAGCAGGAGGGGCCTGCCACTGGGCCTCTGTCTCTGGAGGCTCCCCTCCCCTCTCCCTCGGCTGCTCTCTAGGAGGTGGGGGTGGGCCTCCTCTGCCCAGAAAGCCATACTCCGGGGGACACAGCCCGGTGGCCTGGCACAGCACACTCAGACCTGGGATCTAGAGCGATCTCTCCCACTCTTCCAGAAGCATCGAGGGGAGTGAGAAGAGGGGCTAGGCCTCAGCACCTCCCACCCTCTGCCCCACCCCCATCACCACTAACTCCCTTTCGGCCCCATGCCCCTCTCTCCCTCCAGGGGGGCTCAGCAGAGGGTTCTGTCAGCCAAGAGACCCTGGCTTGACCTTGGTCCGAAGCCACCTGGGGTTGGGACTGGCCAGCAGGTGCAGTCAGTGGGCTGACCTAATAGGCTCCTTGGTCTCGTTCATTTACCTACAACCGTGTCACAGAAATCTTCTAGTGCCTACAAACTGCCTGCTCGCTCTCTCAGAGCCGGGGAGCTGCTGTGTCCATAAGCACAATAACGTTCTCTTCTGCCTGCTGGAACGCTCTGGTCCCCACCGAGTGGCCCTTCCTTCATTGACCCCCTCGGGGTACCCTCTGCCCTGTGCCCCTCCCCCAATGCCTGGGATCAGGAGGGGTTCCCTTTCTTCAGCTGCCTCCCCAGTGTTGGGAACCCCCAACCCCAGTTCTAGCTGGCTGCCCCCAATGCAGGTCCCCTCAGACCCCCTCCTCTAGCCCTAGCTCTTTGACCCCTGAGTTCTCTGGGGCTTGGTTTCAGCCCTCTCCACTGAGGAGACTCACAGTGGGGTTCAGGGACTTTGGGGGTACCCTCCCTAGCAACCTATCTCTACACTTCCTCCAGGCCTCTAGGTCTGAACTTTGACCCGACACTCAGGCCTGCCTTCCCCTTCTTTGCTCTGCTCCCCAGAGGCCTCTGCCCATGGCCAGAGAGCGGAGGGTGGGGAGGGCCACTGTGATGCCCTGGGCCTCAGGGGCTCGCCATTCCCATCACCCCAGGCTCCGCCTGTCTCCCACTGCGCAGGTCAGGCAGGCGGAGGCAGAGGCTTCTAGAGAGGGTGGCTCAGCCCCCAGACAAGGAAGACCCCAGGCGGTGGTCCTGCGCCTTGACCACCTGCGCTCTCTCCCCACCACTGCCCACCTGCTTGGCCCCTCCTCTCTTCAGTGTTTGCTCTCTCTGCCTCCTCCGCTGCAGTTCCATTAACCAGGCCAGTGGTTCCTCTGAATCAAAGCAACAGAGGGCCATTAGTAAACACAGATAAGGATACTCCAGGCTACGGGTCTGGGGGTTAACTGGGCAGCTCCCCACCCTTCCCCTGAAGGGGGGCACTCGGGCACCAAGCAAGCAGATCCAAGCCTTCAGCTCTGTTGGGGGGCCATCCCTGCCAGGCCTACTCAGCCCCTTCTCGGCCTCCAACCTGGGCAGTGGGCAGTGGGCAGGGCGTAACAACCCCCTTGGAGAGTGAATAGTGAGCTAAGCAGTATCCACCTCCCCAAGACCAGAGCCTGGGGGGAGAGAAGGGTCTCCCCAATTCTCAGGGCCAGGACACTTCCTTGGGTTGGGGCTAGGGGGAATCAGCCCCAGACTGTCCGGTAAAGGTATGATATGAAAAAATGTGACTGTTGCCACACTCCGACTCCAAAAGCAATGACCTTAAACTGGGATTTTAGGTTCCCCCAGGTCTGCATACAACATGTATGGTCCTTTAACAAGGGGGCCAGGCAGGGGGAACGCCCCAGTGTTCAGCCCTGGGAATTTTTAATCTCACCAAGTCTACAATCCATAGAAAATTCAATCGAATGAGTCCTCTTACTTATTTCAAGAATTCCAAAGCTCTTGTCTCCCCCTCAAGGCTCATCACGAGGGGATTGAGGCTGGGGGTGATGAATACAGCTCTCAGCTTCCATGTTGGGATGGCATCACTGGGACTGTGAGGCTGTGAGGACAGGGATCACTCTCTGCTTTCCTCCCTGACAAACACATAAACCTTCTCAAGGGCTGGTCCCCAGGGTTTATGAGAGTTTGTTCCAGAAGGTAAGGCCAGAAGGGTTGGGGTAGAGGAAACCAATCTAAACGGAGAGTTGGCCACTCCCAGAAACAAAGGTGTGTCTCTCACAGCTGGTATCCCCCCAAACCCACTAATCCAGCCTCCCCTCAAAGGCTACCTGCTAGTGTGGAGGGGAAAGGGTGAAAATCCACTCCCTAGATGTCTGCACACACATACACCCTGAATCAGAAACCTGATCTCATCCTGGGTTGGAAGCATCTTCTTGGTACCAAGTTCTCTGGGCGTCAGGATGATGCTTCTCTCCTGACCTGTCTATCTGTCTGTCTGTCTCAGGGGTTGTCTGATAGGTTGATTCCAAAGCATTTCTCATCTCAGCCTTATTGTTGTCCGGTTTAAAACCTCTGGTGTCAGTCAGATCAGAAAATTCTACCTAACACTTAAATGCTTACTTAGGTTAAATGATTCTTCTGCTTCATACTTGGGTCAGGAAGGAAGTAAGGAATGGAGGGAGGGAGGGAGGAAGGAAGGGAAAAATCGAAGTCTACAGACTTGCTCTAATTTAATCCTTCATTCCAAAATCCACAAAGTTATGTTTCAACTGGGATACAGAAATATCTCATTTATTCCGCCGTCCCACCCATGTTCGGAGAACAAGCAAAGCCACATGACCAGACGAGTTCATATAGCAGAGAAGAGAAGGTTCTGGGCAGGAACCCAGACATCATGACTCCCAGCCACATCAGGCTGGTGGCCGCTAGTACACATAGGAAGGCCATCCCATCCCCACAATGAAAGCCCTCCTTTCCCAGCAAGGACAGCCCAAAGCCCTGAACTTCCCTCTGCTTGTTTTGTTCTTTGTGCGCGTCTCCATTGCTCTGGTGGGAATGAACAGGGCCTCTACACTGGCCCTCTCCCGCCCTGAAGGATTTCATAGGTCTCCTCGATCTCTGATAGCAGTGGAGCTCTTTTGGTCCCTCACGACCTTCCACCCTCTGTGTCGCTTCTTCCAGTTAACTCTTGGCTCCATAAGTTTGTAAGTCACGAAGCCTTTCCCAAGAATTCCTGTATCCCCCTAACTGGGGTTCCAACCTTAGGGCTCCCTAGCATCTTGGGTGACGGGTCTGCCTTCTAGAAAGTTCCAGACATTCCCTGTACTCAAACTTCTCCTCCCTTCTACCCAGAAACTCTTATTTTAACGTTAGTCTTCCATGCCACTCTGGTCTTTCCTTCCTCTCATCTTCCTGGCTCTGCCCTCTCCCCCGCCACGTACCTTCCTCCATCCCTAATCTGTTTTCCTCCATCCTGCTATCCTCCATAGTTCTAAACCTTAGAGCCCTCAGTGAAGACAAGCAAAGAAGATGTTCTTCAAGACTTCTGCTTGCCTCCTTGGTCTATCTGTGACCTCTCCTGTTCCTACAAGATGATGCCCCAGGCCATGCAGCCTACAGCTCTACTCCTTTGATCTTTGAGAGGTTACAGAGAGAACTGGCCTATCAAAGACATCATGGTTTGAAGTTCAGCTTTGGTTCCTACAGCTGGCAAGTTCCTTGAAGCTCCTGCCCAGCCTGCCATGAGCCCAAAGGCTCCTGCTCTGGCCAAAGATTCATATCCCTGATGGCTCTCGGCCACTCTGTCATCTTGCTTACACCTGTCCTGCTTGTGTGTGTCACAGATTCCCTCTTTGTCTCAGAGGAGAGAGCCTCATGACTCTCCAAGCCTAGCGAAATATTCCCATCACCCCGCTGCCAAATGATCCATTTTTCTTCAGAGATATTTTGCCTGCCACCAGCCTTCCATCTTCAAGATTCCATTCACAGGCAACCATGGACTTGAGCCAAGGTCATCTGAAGGGGCTGCTGATGACCTGGACCCTAGGCAGCACCTGCTCTGAGAAGGGTTTGACCTGTTACCTCCCACAGACATTCCTCCACCATGCTCCCCAAACCTGGGAAATTTTGCTCTGGAGTATTTTCAAGGAAGCTTGTTGTGTTCTAATGAAGTATTTTTCAGGGTTCAAATGTTATTTTGTATAAATGCAGCATTTTAATGACAGATTCAGTATGAAAGCTATGTCTTCCTGGGCTCTATGTTTAATTTCAGAAGGCAGCATACTATAGGAGGAAAAAGCACAGGGCTGAGGCTCTTGGAGACATGGCTTTGGCCCTGGCTTTGTCTCCATCTTGCCGCATGACCAAGGACGAGTCACAATCTCTCTCAGTGCCTCAGTTTCCCATCTGTAAAACGAGGGGCTTTGACTAGATGAGCTCTGAAGCTTCATCCCGCTCTTACATTCTAGGGCCTTCATTCCTCATCGTCGCCCCCCTTCTTCTCTTCACATTCCTCCCCACCTCAACCGAGCTGCACGCATCCCATTATGCCTGCCCCATGGTGACAGCCTTGGATGCCCTAGGCAGCCGCCAGACTCCTCACTGGAGCCTGAGTTGGGCTCCAAGGTCTTGGCCACCCAGGGATGCTGTCATCTGCAGGTGGAAGGGCCTACCCATGCAATAGGTTACCAACAGTGTTCATGAAAGCCCTCTCCAACAGACACATCCCAGGCATCCTGGGTGTTTGTGTCATTGGGGAATTCTGAATTGCAAGTGTTCGTTTTGATCTGGGCTCGAAGCTGGAGGGAGGCGGTTCCCATTTCAGAGAGATGACAGGCTGGAGGAGAAAGGTCCAGAGGATGGTCCCCGGGGATGTAAGTTTGTTTCTGAGGACAGCTTGGAAATGCACGCCAAGCCACAGAGGAGAATGCACAGTGAAAACTTCGTGTTGAAGTGGATGTTACTGTATCTCTCTCCAGAATCTGAGTCCTGAAGAGCGAGTCTGGACACCAGGCTCCATTCCAACTGGAGGAGAGGGAGAGGCGTCAACCCCTGGCTGCTAGGAGGTGGGCACTCACCCCAGGCTAGTACCTTTCTAGTCCCTCCTCCTGACA